CTATGCTCCATTGATCATCTAATTCAAAAGTACCCCCCTTACACCCGTTCAGTGCCTTCCCCTTCCTGCTCCCTAGCTCCCTTTGTGTCCTTTCAGCAATTCTGTCTTTATCATGCTGATCTCCCCTCCTCAGCACAGTGCCAAAAAGCCTTCCCCAGCTCCTCCAGGGGCACCACTCTTTAAAGCAATCCCTTCTCATCACCGGTATCTCTCCTTTATCACACACCTCAGTTCACCTGCCTGGATTGATAGGTGCAGACAAGTTTGCAGACCAACATCCAAATTTGATTTATGAAATGATTGATAATGAGGATTTTTGTGCATGAATGTACATTACAACAGACCTTCACAATTATGAAATTGTGTCAGGTCCCCACTGTCTCCTGGTGGCCCAGGTAACAAAGGCTAACAAAGGCTTACAAAGCCTTTCATGTCCAGTTTGGTGAGGTGTTAGCAGTAGATGTCATTTCTTTCTACTCTGAAGTTTGCTTCAGATGGGGTATTTGCCCTGCACACTCTGAGTCCACAGGCTGTTGGCTGAACCAAAACCCAGTTTACCTGGGAGAACTCATACAGAGGTCCCTGAACTCATGAGAAGCATAATGCTCCTGCCCTGGCCAAGCTGCAATGGGCTCTGAGGAGTGTGTCAAGATTAATCTCATTAAGTCCTATTTGATTTAGATCTCGCTGTCTCTGAAACTGTCTCCTTTCTTTTTCAACTTCCAGAAGTAAAAAACTGTGTGACTTTGCTAACAACTGCTGGACTACTTTAACATCTGACTGATGCAAGTTAAAGCAAGGACCGAGGGCAGCTGATACAGGAAAGATTCCAGTGAGAAAAGCTGGAGGTAACCAATCTCCCCCTAAAAATGAGAGCAGACTGAGAACAAGTGGTAAAAATACAAGCACCTCTCCCCTTTACCCACAGCTCAAAGTGTCCAATTGCCTATATCCCTGTATCCTGGCTTTATACCTTCTCCTTGTGCATCTCTAATGTCCCTGCTTCCAAGAATGTTGCTCCAAAGTGACCTACTTTTCATGTACTCATTTTTTGAAGTATTTACATGAGAAATCAGAGGATTGAGGCTACACAAATGAATATTTCTGATCATTCACCTCCACCATGTTTTAATTTTCTTGCCTTAATCACCTTGTGCATATCTCCTGTTGGCTATCTGGCACACACCCTGGCACATCACAGAGGGGGGAATGCTCCTTTACTTAGAGCTTACCTGAGAGACCTGAAAGGACTTTTTTATGTCAGAGAACATGAGATCTGCACTTCTGTCTAGTACATTCGCCCATAAAAACAAGGTTATGTTATGTCTCATACCCAAAAGCCCACCTGGGTGGCCCGTGGCAGAAGGCACAGCAATGACAGAGGTGACAGACCTCCCTTGACAGCTGCTTGTTTGCTGACTCTGATAGTGTCTGTCTGCTCTCCCCTGTGCACACACCCTCAAGCACGAATCTTCCCATCAAGCCAATGTCCAGCTCCATCTTCATTTTCCAGTCTGCATTTTCCTATTACTCATTCTTTCTTTCTGTCAATCAGGTCATTGTCTGGTTACTTTCTAAACTTATTATTTCCATTGTTTAACTGAGATTATATTATGTTATGGATTTGTTCATTAAAATTCCCTGCATTTGCAGGAAGGCCAATCAGCTTCTCAAGGCATTGCCTCACTGATGATCTGGCAAGCAGCATCAAGCACAAGGAGGAAACTGAATAGAGCCTCTGGATTCTTTTCACAAAATCAAGGGCTGGCTTTTCTCCAGGGAAAAGCAATGTCTCCACATGTCCCCTCTGCCACTTGGACCCACCATTGGGCTCTGCAAAGAGAAGCTCTGAGTGAAGCAGCCCTGCTAGCAGAGGGCTAGTAATGGCACAGTCCCTTAAAGCAGTCCCAGCTTCAGGATCTAAACCATGGACAGTATTAATTACCCAGCAAGCAGCTTGTTAGAAACTGTATTGGCACACAGATAAGGGGAACTGTAATCGAATCAGCCAATTAACCAGCCGATGGTGCTGAACTAAATGTGACCCCATCGTTAATTGTGGTTGTTTCTCAGCAGTTTTCTCATCACATCGGGTGCTCAGGAGAGGGGAGAGAAAGAAGGCTTATCCAGGTGCTTAATTTATTTCTGCTCACAAACAGGAATCATGGGATATAAACTTCATGACAATTACATGGCAGAACTTTAAATCTTATTACACCTACTCTTCCTGAAAGAGAGGGGAGATGAAAGTCCTGGAAAAGCAGAAAAGAAGGACTCTTCAAATTTTGCAGCAGAGTAAACAGCTGTCCAATGTAATGAAGCCCTCTTGAAGTAGTTTACCTGAAGGTAAATATTCTGTGTGAGTAGCGTGTGAGAGGAATTCCTCTCGCTCTATCTGCTGCATGGCCTGTGGCCCATCTGCACTGTGCGGAACAGAGCCGGTACTCTCAAAGACAGCTGACATAAAAAGCTCAGGATGGCCTCGAGCTACAGCTGTGGATCTGGCTCCAGACTTCCCCTCAGTTCAGAGGTGTTTGAATCTCAGCCCCTTGTGGAGCTTTTGAGCCAGATGGAAGATCCAGGAATGAGTTTCCTTAAAGTTCAAGAGGGTTCAAGAGGTTTTGCTTTAAATCCATCTCTGGGGATGACCTCAAGCAGTCAGTGATGCAGAACAAAGGTCTACCTTCTTGTGGCTGTTTCCCTAAAGGAAATGGTTGGACAATTCTTTGTTAGGAATTAATCTCATATGCTCCTGAACAGCTAACCCTTCCCTGGAGTAGGCCTGTAATGAAAGAGCGTCAGTCACAAGAACAAGTACATTAATTGCTAAGTGTGTCTTTGCTTCCTGGAGGATGTGGAGTCTGCACCGATCTAGACCCATAACATAGCCTCTGCCATATCTGCCTTGGACTTAAAGTCCATCTTCTTCTGCATTCTGTCTGGCAGTAGCCAATGTGGAGGCTTAGAGCAAAACACGAGAGAGGAGCAGGATGGAGATTCTCTCAATTTCTTGCAACCCAGAGCAAAGAAACTCCTTGAGCCGGAGGTCGTGTCTGCATCTGAGTTTAGTATTCCTGTTTAAACTACTTTCATAACTTTTCCAAAACCTTTGAACTCACTTATAATCATGTCACTGACTTGTGTCCTGTGATAACGAGTTCCAGGTTTGGCCATGCACTGATGAAAAAGCAGTTCTTTTTGTTTTCCTTTAAAACCTTTTCCTGATCATTTCACTTCTTGTCCCCAGCTCCCATGCTGTGATAAATAACCAACGATCATTCCTCACTCACATCTCCGTGCACACCATGACCTGACAGATCTCTAGCACAGCCCCCTCAGCTGTCACTTTTTCTAGCTCAAGAGCCTGGTCACCGTCCCTTCATAAGGGAGACATTTTATACCTGTTGCCTCAAAGTTTGTCCCTCCTGACCTACAGCTCTTCAAAATTTCACCCTGTGGCTGCTCCCAGTTCTGTCTCTGCCTCCCAATCCCAGCCAGAGCCCCCTGTCATCCCTCAGGACTCATGCCAGCACGGCCACACTTTTTCTCATTCCACTACGTCCTCTCTGGAGGACTGACTGCAGGCAGCATTCAAGACACATATGCACCATGGATTTATACAGCAGTATAATGATGTTTTCTGTTTTGCTGCCAGTTCCTTTCCCAACCATTCCCTCCCCCCACCTCCAGTTTGACTGATGCTGCACAGTTTTCCTCCCCAGGATGGCTCCAGAACTCCCTTCTGGGTGGTAATAGCTAATGTTCGAACACATCCACTTATCATTGTTTTTCCCCACATTACTGCTATCTATATCCACATGGAATTCCATCTGCCACCCTATCACCCACTCACTCTGTATCCTGCAGCTCTTTGTTCATTACAGCTTATTACAGCAATCTCCTGGAAAAACAAGCTCATTACAGTCGAGAAACTCACGCCTTATTCCACTGACTGAGGGGCTGCCTGTGTTGGAGGTGGTGCTGACTGCTTGAATTTCTTCCCAGCTATTAACAGAGGGCCCAGTGTGCACTCCTATCCCCTACCCAGAGAGGCAGGACTGATTGAGGCTCCTTCATCAGCCAAAAGGGCAAAGGATCACATGCACAACACACCATTATTTCCCTACTGCTGGCAACTCTCTCCCAGCAGACTGCTAATGGCAGTTACCTACCCACATTCCCCTCCAATGCTACCCATTCCCAGTACCACTGCTTCTCAACAGAGGGAGAGAGATCAGCTGAAGCAAAACCCTTCCCAGCACAGCCCAAACTTGCACGTTAAGGATCCATGTGGAGCAAGAAGAAGGGAAGTGCACTGGGCAAGGCTATCAATGTTCATCGTAACAGAGAGGTAAAAACCAGCAGGAAAACCCAAACCCTTACTGCAGCAGCTACTTGGACCCATTACCATGGAAGATATCAGGGCTAAGGATGTTTTCTCCAGCTGGGTATGCCATGCAAAAGCACTTCCCTTTTTCCCAGAGGAGATTTGTTGATGGGGTACTCTGGGGAGGAATGACATAATATTAGAGTCAATTACGTTTTACAATTTTATCACATTATTCCTGGTTATAGTCTGTTATATCCATTTAAACTATTCCCTTCCCTTGTGGAACTCATACCTGGCAAGCACATGGACATAGGTAATCTCATTTTTTCAGGCTTCTTGTTATCTCCATTGCCTTTTGTTTTTCATTTTCCTCATCAGTCAGCCTCTCCAGTCCTACAGTAATTCATCTTGGTGCCTCTCCCTGTATCCTTGTGGATTTATCTATACCTTTCTACTGTGATACAGCCCAGAACTGAAAGCAGTATATTTTGTTTGGGATCTCATCAGGCATTGAGAGGAACCAGTGCCTCCCCCAGCTGTGATTTGATGCCTTTCCCTACATAGATAAGAATCTCATTAGTCACTTTTTTCCCCTACCATAACACATTGTAGTCACACATGATCCAATTTGCTGTCTACTATCACACTCCCATCTCTTTTAGCATAACAGCTTCTCAAGGCCCTCTTCCACTAAATCACTATGGGTCAGCTGACCTAAAGGAAGTATGATGATTTGCACCAGTTAAGGATTTAGCCTTTTGTTTGGCATAAGTCTTCTTGAGGATAACCACCTTCTTCATTCCAGGTCAAATCTCACATTACTGCTTGTTCCTATTGCTAATTGTTGCAGTTTTGGGGGGATTTTTCTCCAAGAGAACAGTTGTTCTCTATTCTGGTATCACTTATGCATTTTCACCCACAGAGCCCATGAAATGACTGAACACCAGGCACCTTTAGGTACTTTCTCCTGTAGAATATTGCATTTCATTTCCATCTGTGTATGCACGGTCTCTATCTGGTATACTGCCATTCGATGGTACAGGTATGAGAATTGCTTTCCTGAATGACTGGAAATGTGTAGTTCAAACAAAGCTGTGCCTGATTTTCCACTTCTCTGCTTCTGGTTTCAGTGGTGGCCATGCCAGCATGCAGGCAGATCCCAGGAGTGTCACAGCAAGGTCTGTGAGAGCCGCTTCACAGCCCGGGGCCGCCTGCGTCACAAGCTTTCTGGGTTTCAGATTTCATCCAGCCCATACAACAGGGCTGGCTCCTACAAAGCCCTTCCAAAACTAGCTCCTGCAGTGCACATGCCTTTTTGCCAGATGCCCAAAATATTGCACAAGAGTTGTCAGGATTTACACGAAGATAACAAGATGATCTAAGCCTACATGTCCTAACCAGGAGTGGGAGGCTTCAGGGGAGTGGGAGACTTGTCTCACTGTGCTGTTGATTGCCTCTTTGTTGCCATTAATCCCACAAAGGATGGATGTTGTGAGGGTCTTTTGCTTGCTCTTTGGAGGACTGGCATGCAGGCAAAAGTTTGGTAGAATTTCCTAGCCACACAATACAATAACAAGATGGAGAGCTGGGGGGAAGACAGAGAGGGCAAATATCTAGGCACCTTCTTACCATGCTGGCCCTGAGAAGCAAAAAGAGAATGCTTCCCAGCCCATACAGTAGCCAAAGATGTGCTTTCCCCTCTGCATCAAAGAAACACCCCATCCTGTTCTCATGAGCTCCATTAGGAATTGATCACATTCATTCTTGGCCTGCCAAAGTCCCCATGAGCTCTTGTAAAGTAAGCATCATCTTAGCTATACTTGCTATACAGGTAATTTCCAGAGCAAGTCTTACCAGGGAATTCCAGAGATTCCTGCTTATAGCAACATTAAAATCCCCTTAATAACAATTAGCACAGATAAGACAGGTAGTGTGGGACAATAGATTTCCTCCATAGATTTCCTTTATCCTGTTCAAAAGGTCAGGTAGACTTTCACACCTCAGCCTACCTCTTCAGTCTGTTCTCAACATCCATACAAAGGCAGCACACAGTGTTGCTGCTGTTTGCAGCAGCTGGGGGAAAGCCCCTGCAGTCTGTGCCATGAAGCTGAAGCTGTTTCAGGATCCAGACACCCACTTGGACCGTGGCTCTGCAGAAAGGCAGGCCCAGCTGGAGGGAGCCCGGTACCAGCTCAGTGAGAAGCACCATATATCTGAAACATCCGAGGTGTCACTTGCCAGCTCAAATTTACTCAAAAAAGTGATAAAGAGGGAAATTTGCCCTTGCAGAGTTGCTGCTGGATCAGGTATTACATTATTTTCCAAGCCTCCTCTTTCTCTGCAGCTAACAGAGGCCATGCCGTGAGCTGTGCAATTCAACTACCTAGGCAGAAAATCATTTGGGCTCCCTCCTGATGCAGACGAAAGTCGTGCAGCCTCGGCAGGCACTAAAGAAGGTACAGCCACGCTCTTAAACTAAGCACCTGCATGCTGTGCAGCTGCACTGGGCGGCTTCTTCCCCGTGCTCCCTAATGTTCCCAATGTGTGTGATTGCTTGGTAGCAATGAGGGGCTCCATCCCCTCCGCGATCTGGCTCCTGCCCCCAGGGGTTTTGGAGAACATACTTTAAAAACCCTCCTGGGAGTTCACTCAAGCTCTCTGTTTACACAGCAGATTGGTGGCTCCTCGTTTGAAGTCAGGATTTAAGCTGTTCTTTCTAATTACAGAGAGACTCTGAAACCTGAGAGATCACTGCTGGTGAAGACTAAGCACAGAGGAAAAAAAAAACAGTTGCATAGGCAGAACAATACTACATCCAAACCCTAGAGTTTGCTATAAACAGAAGGCCCCTGCAGCAAAATAGGACATATGCTGTTATTCATCCCCTACAGTCTCTTTTCATCACACTGTTTTCTGCTCATCACCTCTGTTCCTTGCAAGTATCACCAGCACTCAAGGACATTTGTTCCACTTTGTCTTCTACAGAGGGAGGGATAGTAAAAAATATCTGAATCCCAGTGAACTTCCCTAGGCAGAGGAATGGAAGCCAGGGTATTTTCATCCTCTCCAAACTGACAGCTGCCATGGGATATAACTACATTAACAGATGATGCCCTGAAATTCATTTGAACTAATCAGCCACTAATGTTTCCATTAGGAGAATAAAAGGGAATTTATTACCACCCCATTGCAGAAAGGCAGCTACAGGTTTTAATGATTCTTTAGTAACTTTTGTGTTTCTAAGAACCAGAAAGTGCTGCCCCAGCTCCTGTGTAGGTGTTCCTTCACTCGTTCTTGCAAGGAGGACAGGATGGAAGAGGAGATTTGGGGCAAGGTGGGACAGCAATGTCTACTCCCTCCCAGAGTCCCCTGTCTCCGAACTGTGTAAGGTTTCCCATGACCAGGGCTGGTTCTTACCGCCCTTCACACAACAGCATCCTGAACCTGCCTGGAGCTCCCAGACACTGCTATCAGCTGTGTAAGATGGGACACCACCTCAATTCCTTTGCTGTCTCTAGCAAGCCTGATGTTTTAGCAGTTGACAGAGGAGGCAGGAGATGGAAGCAAGGTGAGGAAAGACTTCAGGAACTTTCTCAGCACATCACAAATAATCCTCCAGCAGCACAAACCCACAGCTGATTGGTTCCCAGTTCATCTTGGGTGTGTGAACCATGCAGGGAATACATTAAATAGAAGGTGGAAAGTAACAAGTTTGAAACAAACTGAAACACATGGGTCTAAATCACATCCTGGAAGCAAGTCCAGTCCTTTCCTCACCTGAGTCACTTTAGCAAAAGAGAACTGCTCTCTGTTGCCCGAGGGCAGTGCCTGTCCCCTTGGCTGGCTCTGCACTGAAAGGCCAGCACTTCAGTAATCAGATTAGAAGCCTCAAACAACAGCTGTGTTTGTTCTCTGACTTAAAGTCAAAATAATTATAAATTATTGTTTTCCTGCAAATTAAAAGACTGTTTGCTCTCTGATTTCCAATTTGTTCCCTGAATAAATACATCACAGCATTAACTGCTTGGATCACACTGACCTGTGCAGACTGTATAACATTTTTAATCTCTTATCTGAAATGACTCAAGGGAAGGGGGCCATAAATCCCATTGAAAGTGAATTCCTTCCAGTGTTATCTCAGTATTCAAATGGATATAGGCTGCATAATTGGACCTGATTAATTAAAACCTGCAGGGCACCAGTGGGAGAGACTAATGTAGGTCTTCACTGATCACTCTCCCCCCTAGATTTTGCATTATTTTAAAAGACACAACCCCCACTGCCCTTGCTTCATTTGCTCCAGACCAAGTGACACCAGAGTGGAATACCTGTGTCCTGTGTTGTGTCTTACATGTTCCTTTTGCCCTGCAGAACAAACACAGCAGTCTCCACACCACCATGCCAGCACAACATCCTACCTTGGGCTCCTCTACCCAGTCTAAAGGACTCCTTGCAATATAGCAATACGCTTCCTTCTTAAATACTTCTCCTCCTTGGAGCTTCTAGGCAAAAATTGTTACATTAGCAACAAAAAAATCATTACAGAAACTTATGTTCAGTGCCCTGTGACACAGAAGAATGTAATCCCTGTTTGAAGGTAAGTTGTGGCTGACCTAGGAATCCAATCCAGACCCCATGGTGGGCACAGCTGCAATACCATCTTCTGACCACTGATACAGCTTGAGACACATGACTGCTGCAGAGAAAACACCACATAAGTGTAATGGTATTTATGTGGCTGAACCAAGGTGTGATGGTGAGAACTTAATGCAAATTTTCTGCCCGACATTCCCAGTTTTAACGCAATTGGGTACCAAAAACCTCAGTAGAACAAGACGGTGCCAGAGGCAGCCTCTGTAGGCAAGGTAAGCATGATCTGATGAGAAGCAAATTAAAATTCCCTCACTTCTTTCACTCAGGGTCTTATTTACTTCCATACTCACTCTCCCCTCTCTCCCTTCCACCCACTGGACCAAATCTCAGCCAATATCTCTCATGGGTGTTTGATGAGTTGGCAACAACTTCAGCAGCTGAGCCCTTCAGGATTTGATATTAGGAGCAGAAATTACCACTGTGAAATCTGAGACAGTTTTCATGCACAGGAACGGAAGAGCACAGGCAGAGAGAAGCTTTACCAAATCTGCAGTGTAAGTCATTCTTCTCCTGTTTCTAAGTTAAGATCACCAGCTTTCCAGCTTGAATATTAAGCATAGAGCAGCAGAGCAGCAGTGAGACAGCTGCAGTGATGAATTTTTATTCCCTTGTTAATGGGGGGGATACAGACTCTGAAGGCAAAATAGTGGAAGAAGGGAGGCAGGGGAGGGAGAGGGGAGAAAAAGCTGGTGGATGTTTCTGGTGCTCGTGCTGAAGTTAGCAGTATGATTTTTTTTTTTCCAAAGGAGAAGAAAGCAAAATTACAGCCACTCTAGCACATAAACACCTCCTCACCAGCACCCTCTCCCTGGCACTGAGTCTGCCACACGGACAGAGACCCAGGGACTGTGCCTGAGGTGGGGGGCCCTGCTGCAGGGAGCAACAGCACTGACGGTGCTGATCCTGGGCAACTTCTCCAGGGGCTCCTGTGTCACACAGCACAGGGCAGGAACTTCTGGGGTAAAAGCCTTCTTTCCTTGCTAGGGGCTTCTCTGCTCTGCCTTATATGTATGTGTGTGTGTGTGTATATATACAGTCTTTGCTCTTCAATTTCCAGAGAGTTTTACTCTAAAATGCCAGGCAGAAGCAAGAGCTGGTTATTCTGTTGCACTTGAGCAGACAACAGGGCTGAAAATGAGCCTCAGCTCTTTGGGTTTCCAGGAGGTTTTTAACTTTTTAACTGTTTGTCACAGAAAAGGATTCCCCCTTATTAAAGTTAAAGCAAGGCCGGTATCAACACTTTGTTACAGTAGCACCTCTGTCCCATACCTGGCTAGCCTGACTTTAGCTCACTGGTTGCTCCTGATGGCAAGAAATGTGTTTTCTTCATCTGCATGTATTTCTGGTGTTTGACAGAATAAATCTTCTGCAGTGATACTATGGTGAAATCCCCAGAGCTAGTGATCTTCATGTTCCTGGGGACTAATGATTTAAATCTACAGTTCAGTAACGCCCTCTGCAACTCTTGCTTGTTTAAAAGCACCTAAAACAATTTTCTGCTGCTTTCTGCTGTCACACAGAGTGATCAGACACATGACAAGAGACCATCAAAATAGAGAATTTAGGAGGTACTCATATAATATATGTGGACTAAGAAATTCCTGCCCTTCTTGCTGTTTCTTCCCAAGCCATGTTGCAGTTCCCTGCCTCCTCGGTTATGCCAGAATAGAAGAGTTCATAGGATATGATGCAAATTGAGCATAGAACGATCCAGGGGAAAAAATAACCTTTTTTTAAATCCCCTTCAGTTATTTTTCCACAATGAAATGTGTACTAGAAGATGAAAGTGGCTTTCTCCTTTGGGATAATACAGTTTCCCTACACTACTGTTAGCTTGCCACATTACCAAACTTAAAAGAAGTTCCACAGATTTATTTGAAACTGTTTCTTATGCCTAAAGAGTAGGAGGGACAGGTAGGCCATCAGAAAATGCCAACTACACAGTAGCTGCATGGGCAGGGCAGAGCTGCTCTTCCCTAAACAGTTTCAGAGTGTGAGGAAGAGCATGGACTTGAGATGTGGTGAATAAACCCCAATTCCCCAGAGTATGAAGTGGGGCGGGGGTGGCTCTATATAAACACTAAAACAAGGTCTCCAGCAGTTAGGGAAAGGTAAAGCCACGTCAGAGCTGAAGGACAGAACTGCTGGTCAGATGAGGATCAAACAGAAGCAGAGGAAGAGGGCTCCACACCCCCTTGAGGAGGGGGCAAGAGGGTTTGTTGGGGACAGGGCTGGTTTGTAGAACCATGTAGAACAGCATTAGAACAAGCTCTCTTTGCCTTTCTAGCAGTGTTCAGGACACAAAAAGCTGACACAGTAAAATGTATTCATCATGTCTGCACTGTTAAAGTTCATGGTCTGCACAGAGTGGCCAATCTGGAGATTGTTTGACCACCCCTAAAATCCTACAGCATGTCCTAGGAAAGAAAGTTCTTGAGCAGAAAAGCCTGAGGCCACTGATAGGAAAATGAATAGGAGTGCTGTTTCCTGAAGGTGATAACAAAAATTCAGGAGTTTTACAGGCACTGAATTTTGCCACAGTAAAAGCCAGGAAGCCTTGTAAAATGAAAATGAGTCACGTAGCTGTGTGCTGTGCGACACTCGCTGAAGTAAGGACTCCAGTTATTTGTGTGGGGGAAGGGAAGCCACAGTTACTCTATTCTCCTGCTGTGTTTGCTTAAAAAGTCCAGGGCATGTGATGAGTTGATCCTTTCCTATTTAATGACTCTGAATTTCCCTCTCCTCTAACACTGTAACCAGACTCCTTGCAGGGGCAGTCCTTTTGCAGCTCAGGTATTTGTCAGTCTGTTCTTCCAAGGCACACAGTGATGGGCCCCTGATCTGTTGGAGGAATATAGAGCTGTATAATGTTTTTGCAATGGGTACAGGGACAACAGGGCCCTGCCACCCAGCCTTCTGACTCGTCAGCTTCAATTCACCAGACAGAGCTTTGGGAGGGCTTTTCAGCATAGTGTGAGAAACATGTGCTCTTAAATTACCAAACAGGAAAACATTAGGAGCTTTGTAATGAGTTCCCACACAACAGCAGAAAAACACCCTGATCATATTCTTGTGAATCATCTGCAGACTTCTGCAATCCCTGTGCTGTGACTCCGTGCAGGTACAACCAATCCATGCAGGAAGCAAGCAGTGCCCAAGCATGAAGCTGTGCCACAACAAAGCCCCTGACCCCAGAATTGACCCTCCAGGGCCCCCATGACAAGGACCAGGCAGAGAAGTGCTGGGGTGCAGGGAGGATAAAGGGACAGCACAGCGACTGGGCAAGGCTGGAGCTCCACAGAGAGCAGGGAGGCTTTCAGAGCACACAGGAGAGAAAGGCTAAGGAAGGCAAGGCAAACCATGAATTAAGGTAATACACCTTGAAGATTCTTTCTGGAAGAAGTTATTGATAAAGCTACTGGGGATAAATGAGATTTGAGTGTCATTTGTAACACCAAGGTAAGGCTAACCCAGCATCCTGGTTCTGCACAGCTGGGGCACGTGGAGAATGATGGGGCAGCTCATGCAGAAACAACTGTGTTCTAATTCTTCTCTTTATTGGAGTGAGTTTTTCTGCCTCTCTGAAACTGTAGATAAATTCTCATCAGCAACAACAATATCAGGAATTAACACTGCAACATATTCAAGTTCCTGGATCTTATTGTGCTAAACATGACTCTGCCTCTTCAGCACGTTGGTGGCTCATCATACTTGGCATAAACAATTGGCATTGGTGGGATGTCACAGTAGGGCATCTTGTTACTGTTCATCAAATATCAGCAGCTTCCACTGTGTGCCACATAAACAGGGAGAAAAGTGTCTCATCTCATCCAGTTCTCATGTGTGATTGTATCAGCATTTTTCTGAGATGCAGTTGGTTGGGTGCTAGTAAAAAGCTGTCACTCCACCTTTGAACAGATGATAGTAACATTTCACCTACCCCCAAAGAAAGAGACACTTGCTAGAGATTAAATCATAAACCCTGTCACCCTCTGCCAGTTTTAAAGCGCATGAAGTACTAAAGCCTGCATCTCTCTGGCAGTAAACAGCATGGCAATTAGCGCAGAAAATCCTCACTGAAATAGTTCTTGTAAATGAAATGCCTGGGACCTTCCCTCAGTCTGAAAAAACATGACAGCAATAGACAAGAGGGACCAAAGACTTTCCAATTACTCTTTCCCAACCTCTTCACACAGCCCTTTTCCTACAGACATGGGAGCTGGAAGAAGAGCACTGAGTGCCTGCCACAGAAACCCTTTGCAGTGCTCTGTGCCCCAAGCAGAGGAGAACAAGCCTCTTGTGAGCTACCAAGAGACCAAGACTGCTTTGATTTTGCTGAGGCAAATGTACTACCTCAACAGTTCCCACACATGCTGCAAGGGCTGCACCGATTTTCCATGAATCAGATAAATCAACACCAACAACAGGCTTAGCACATTGCTTCCCACTGCCCCTGGCTCTGACAGCCCAGCACAGGCACAGCTCACTTTGTTTCCCCTCACAGTGCATGAGTTCCTCGATGGTATCTAGTTCCTGTTTCCTCTGGGTTTATTGCTTTCATTCTTTAATTTTTTTTTCCTTTCCCCTTTTTTTTAATTTTTTTTTTAAGTCAGCCTGAACCCATGCTGGACTTCATGCTTAACATCACTGGGTGTTTCTCCACGCTACCTTGACATGACCTATGTCATTTTGGTGGATGATTTCTTCTACTCTTATTATTTCCAAATCTCAGTACATTTGTCAGCTGCTGAACATACTCCACATGCTTAATGGCTTCAGAGAAGTTTCTAAATATGGATTTAGAAGCTACCCAGAAAAAATGAGTACCTATTTTACAAACCAGTCTGAGTGTTTGACTGTAAGTGGGTAGACTTTCTTCACATTAAAAATATGCAAAGAAATAAAAAGAATTAGCAGTAGTGACTGAGCTTATGAAGTAAATTCCAGAAGTTGGAAACAGATTGACTGTGCTGAAGCAGAGTATGTTCCCTTTGAGGGCATTATATCTGATGTATAACATTTACCTTTGACACTGCAACAAATTTCATCCAAAATGTCTCATACCTGAGAAACCCAAGTCTAGCTGGGCAGAAAGAGCAGAAAAATCTTCCTACAGTGTAATGCAAACGAAGCAATTGAGAACTAGAAAATAGGTATGAAGGACTGGGGTCCTGCCAATGCTCCTGTCACATGGCATCTTAAATACTTTGCCTTCAGATACAGTACCTGTGGTTCAGCCCGGGGGTACTGAAGGAGCTGAGAAAATAATTATCAAGGCAAGGCTGGCTCCCAAACGTCCCTCTGAGCATCTTTCAAGAAGGAAAGAATCAGTTAGATGAGTGGTGGGTGCCGTAGAGATCTGCTGCAGACAGCAAGAGAGAAGGCTATACAGACCTAGTCTCAGTGGTAAAATGCTCATCAGTTAGAATGGGTTTTCCCCTCTTCTCATCTGCTACTCCCCACT